GTTATTTGAAAGGGGTGCTACACGGGGAAAGAGGTGCAAGTCTCCCATTCTCTATGTCTGAAATGAGGTCAACAGGGCTAGGTGGATGGGGAAGGCTGTTCCGTAAAGATATTTCCCCTGAGGCTGGCGCAAGGCCTAATTTGAGGCCTGGCTGGCTTGTCACCTTTGGAACTAGGCCCCTGGTTGCCATGACACTCCCTTTATTCTGTAGGGGGGCTCTGTAAAGAGTAGAGCCTCAGACCAACACCAGATCCTGCAGCAGTCAGGCCCCCAGGTGAGGGTAGAAAATAAGCCAGGAACAGAGGGCTCACATTGGCAAGGGGCACTCCGAAACAGAGGCTGGAAGAATAACATGCCCTGCTACAGAAAATAGGAGAATTTTAGAATGAAATGTCCGTTTTATTCTATCTCCATGTCTCTGTTGCTACATTTGCTGCTAGCAGGAGTCTGGGAAAACACTGGTTTTTGGGTGCTTGTTTGGTCCCTATTTTTACTGTAGGGGAATCTAGGAAAAAGATCCTGATGTGGGTTGCTTTAATAATACTTGGGATTTAGACCCCTCTGAGTTCATGAATTAAATCTGCAGGTGGGGGAAGACCTTGTCTTAAACCCTGATGAACGATCAGGCAGAATGTAGTGTGCATTCTGCCGTTTCATGCATTTTGTTGCTGCAATTTGCTTTGAATTGCTAATACTCTCCAGAATGACTGTCTTTTATTTCTCACTTACCAGTCTAGTAAAAGAAAAGTAGCTTATTTTAGTAAAGGAAAGCTGGTACGGAAGCGCACACACACACACACACACACACACACCCCTAACCCCACATGTGAAAATGTTAAACATGCCTTTGAAAAAGGGTGTTTAAAACAATGACTTAAAATTTTGAAGACAGCAGAGGAAAAAGTCTATTTTCCCAGTAGTGTCTTAAGGAGTCTTTTAGCATCACCCAGCCATTGTTAAGGCAATATAAAGTCTTCATCATCGTTACATTGGCACAAAATGGGTGGATGACTCAAGAAGTCATTATTAAATCGCTAGTTGGGTTCCTGCCAGGGTGAATAGTAAAGACTTAACTATTTTACTCAGTCTCAGGGGGCAGGGCAGCTATGACTATTTCCCTAAATGAGTAATTATTTATAGATGTGTTCCTGGAATGTTTGATTCCCAGTATATCTTGGCTTTAATCTGTGATTATTATTTATTTTAACCCAAATTATGGTTTGTGGAGTGGTACACCACTCAAAGTTGATTAGGGTAGCTTATAAGCCCAATAAATAAATGAATAAATAAACAAAATAAAATAAATGGTGTGAAGGAAAGATGAAGATAGATTTCAAAGTCCAATGATTTGGTTGCCTGCACTATGGTTTAGCAAGTGGACATAGGCATGCTGAACTGTGATATGCTGTGGGTCCTATTACAATAGATGTAACTGCTTTGACCAAAATACCTGCTGTTGCTAAGTTGATAAAAGTTTTCCACATTCCCATTCACTGCAGTAAATCCAAGAGTGCTGAGCTGACCAGGTTAACATTTAGAATGTCTGAAAACAGAAAGGGAACCTTTCTCAGACAGTGTCAGAAATGCCATGTCAACATGAATGGAGACATGTTAGATGCACAAGGTGTTTGTCTTCACTGCAAAGATGAGGCAAGAGAGGAGCACCCAAAAAATCAGAAAAGCAGAAGGTAAGGCAGAGTAAAACAATAAGCTTGGATTATATTACAGAACTCATTACAAGAAGAGGGGTGATAGCTAGTGATTAGTTAGAAAGACTTTAAAATAAGCAAGCAATAAACAAACAAACCCAGGGACAAGTTGTCTTTCAGTAGCTGTTGGCCATGTTAAGACAAAGTGTTGAAGTTCAAAGGCATTATAACTCTAAATCAGGGGTGGACAACCCACCAGCTGCATGCAGTCCCAAAGTCCCCTTTTTGCTGTTCCAGGAAGAAAGTCCAAAATCAGGCCACTAAAATTCTGTGCCAAATCACTGAATAATTGTCACAACACTTTCCACTGAATTTGGATGGAAAATTAAGTAAAGTAGATGTTAGTAAACATACAAGAAAAATTGAACCCACTCCATTATTCAATTGCTTTTAACTCTTCATGTCACCATGGACATTGTTTTGTCAGGATTGTCTGTCAGTAATTGCTTCTTTGAGTTCTTGTAAGGTCATACTTGTGTCATCAGTGATGGTATGTAGCCACTTTGTCTTCATTTTCATTTGACTTTAATTTTTTTTTTTCCCCAGCATCAGGGTCTTCTCAAATGACTCTTGCCTTTATATTTTGTGCCCAAAATAAATAAGAATTAGTTTTATTATTAGTGATTTCAGTAAGTAGTCAGGTTTTATTTTATCTAGTATTGAATGATTTGTTTTCTTGTGGTACAAGTTATTCTCTAGTAACAGCTGGTCCACCCCTGGAGACTGATAGGCTCAATTGGGTTCCAAAGGGAGCTGGGGTTATACCCGAGGATCTGCTGCATGGTCTAGCAGAGGCCTTGGCCACCACCTGGAATAGGAAGGCGGCCGAGGCCTTGGACAAGATCGTGCCCGTGCGACCTCTCTTGTTTCATCGAGCCCAACACTCCCCATGGTTTACGGAGGAGTTGAAGGTCTTGAAAAGGATTAAGAGATGTCTAGAGCGCTGCTGGAGGAAAACAAGGACCGAATCCGACTGAACACAGGCTAGAGCCGCTATTAAGGCCTACCTTGTGGCAGTAAGAGTGGCGAAACGTAAATATTTCTCCACTCTTATTGCATCTGCAGAATGCTGCCCGGCGGCCATGTTTAAGATCACCTGATCCCTTTTGGGAAAGGAGGGCCCAGTGGCCCATTTACAGGGCTGTGCAGAGGAGTTTTCTGGGCATCTGGAGGATAAAATCGCTTGGATCCATTCCCAGTTGGATACCAAGCATGGGGCATGGCCTACTGAAATGCCCAGGGTATGGACTTACCCTGTTACCTGGGAACAGTTTGATCCTGTTGGACCTGAGGAAGTGGACAGGATCCTCCAGACTGTTAATGCCACCACTTCTAGATCCATGCCCCTCCTGGCTGGTCAAGACCACTCGGGAGGTGACATATGGGTGGGTCCAGGCAATGATGAACACCCTTGAGGGGTGTTCCCAGTCGTCTTTAAAGAGGCGCTGATGCATCCCCTCCTCAAGAAACTATCCCTGGATCCCACTGTACTGGACAATTTTCATGCAGTCTCCCACCTCCCCTTTTTAGGGAAGGTGGTTGAGAAGGTGGCAGTCTCCCACCTCCCCTTTTTAGGGAAGGTGGTTGAGAAGGTGGCAGTCTCCCACCTCCCCTTTTTAGGGAAGGTGGTTGAGAAGGTGGTGGCGTTGCAGCTCCAGAAGATACTGGATGAAACGGATTATCTGGACCCTTTTCAGTCAGGGTTCAGGCCTAGATATGGGACAGAAACAGCATTGGTCGCACTTACAGATGATCTCTGGGGGGGGGGCAGGATGAGGTAGCGCATCCATCCTCACTCTTCTTGACCTCTCAGCGGCTTTCGATACCATCGACCATGGTATCCTTTTGGGCTGGCTTAGGGAGCTGGGAGTCGGGAGCACAGTTTTGTGCTGGTCCACTTCCTTTGTCCAAGGTCGGTACACCAATTGGTGTAGATTGGGAGCAAGAGGTCTGGCCCATGGTCCCTCTGTTGTGCGGTACCACAGGGTTCGGTACTCTCACCACTCCTTTTTAACATCTGCATGAAACCATTGAGTGAGATCATCTGCCATCATGGGATGAGGTATCATCAATATGCAGATGATACCCAATTATACATCTCCATCCCGGGTGATTTGAGTGATGCTGTGACCACCCTTTTGCGGTGCCTGGAGGCTGTAAGGGTGTGGATGGGGAACAACAGGCTTGGTAAGATGGAATGGCTGTGGACTGGAGGCTCCTCTGTATCTGGAGGTTTACCATCTTTGGTTCTCAATGGGGTTGCACTGCCCCAGACAAACCTGGTGTGTAATCTGGGGGTCCACCTGGACTCATGACTCCTGCTCAAGGAGCAGGTGGCAGTCGTGGCCAGGAGGGCCTTTGCACAACTTTGTGTTGTGCGCCAGTTACAACCCTTCCTGGATCAGGAGTCCCTCCAATCTGTCACTCACGCCCTGGTCATCTTTCATTTAGGCTATTGCAATGTGCTATACATGGGGTTACCCTTGGAAGAGTATCCAGAAGCTACAGGTGGTTCAAAATGCAGCTACGTGGGCAATCTTGGGTGCCCCAAGGATGGCACACGTAATACCTTTGCTGCGGGAGCTGCATTGGGTTCCACTTTGTTTCCAGGTCCAATTCAAGGTGTTGGTTATTACTTTAAACGATGCTCCATGAGTTTAAAGCATGGGTCCAGGTTACCCGAGGGACCGTCTCACCCCCATTATATCGACCCGTCCCACCCGGTCTGGCAGGGAAGGCATGTTGCGGATCCCATCAGTGAGAGAATGTCCTAGGAGGAAGGCCTTCTCTGCCGTTGCCCCTGCCCTATGGAATACTCTCCCACCAGAGGTGAGCCGGGCCCCTACCCTCCCAATTTTTTGGAGGGAATTGAAGACTTGGCTCTGCCAACTTGTGTGGGGCGAGGAAAGATACAATCAAACCTGGGGATGGCTGGCACTTGACGATGCTCCCTGAGTTTATTAACACCTAATTAACATCAGCCTCTTGGAAGTATTATAAAGGAAGTTTGTTTTTAGCATATTTTAATTAATTAATTAATATTTATCTGTTTTAATTAATGTTTATTCTATTTTAACTGCAAACCGCCCAGAGTCACTCCACAGTGAGATGGGTGGTGACAAATTTGAAATATAAATAAACAAAATACAAAGACATCACAGGGATTTTTTTTTTTTTTGGCCTTTTTGATGGTCCAGCTTTCATAGCCATGTGTTACAACTGGAAAAATTATGACCTTGACAGTACATAATTTTGTTGTCAGGTTGATGTTTCTACACTTTAATATTTTGTCCAGATTTGCCATATTTTTTCTCCCGAATAACAGATATCTTTTTATTTCATGGCTACAATCACCACCCCTGTGAATAGATAAATCTATTACTACTTCATCTTACCTGCACTGGGTCAGCAATACCTATTGACATAATTTTAATGTTTTAATATTGAGCAGCAATCAGTTTCTGCATTTTCTTTTTTTCCCCTCAACAAGGGATTTCTTAAGTTTTTCCTGCTTCCATCTACCAAAGTAGTATAATTAGCATATTAAGTTGTCGCCTAGCTCTTTTAATTCCAATTTCTATTTCTTTATATCCAGTATTTCTCATAATCCATTCTGCATATCAGTTGAATAAATAAGTTGCCAGTATATAGCCATGGCACATTTCTTCCCAATTTTGATCCACTAAATTGCTCCATATTTCTTTCTAATTATTGCTTTCTGGTCATCATTCAAAGTCTTTAATAAGCAGATGTGGTGGCTTGGTACAACAACATTTTTAAGAACTATCCTAATACTCTGCCAAAGGGGAAAATATGGATCAAAATTCCCATTCTCATCCCTACTGTTGATATTATATTATTATTCCAATCTTATAGCCCTTGGTAGATGGGAAAAAAATATGGTCCCTGTCCACTAAAAGTTGCTTTCCCCCTTTTTAAAGAATATACTTTTAAATACTGTATCTAAATACAAACAATGAGGGAGAATAGTTATTTTCCAATCCTGTAAATCTCTTGAAATCATTTGGAATGATTTGACACACAATGCTGTGTGTCCCAATGGAATGTTAACACACAATGCTGGATTTGAAACCTCTTTTGTCTGATCCAGGAGTGATCTTATTTAAGAACATAAAAAGAAACTTGTTGAATGAGGCCAACTTTGAGAAGTTGGGGTTCATGATAGAGAAAAAATTGTCTACTGTTACTTAGTTGATCAGCATATAATGCAAATGATGCACTCTTTGCAAGGATTTGTATTAGTGCTGACCAAACCTGATGATAGTGATGATGATTATGATAATTTTGGAATAAACTCACTTCATATTGCATAGTGGTTAATATAAGGTGGCTTTCCTTAGATTTTCAGATGACAAAAATTTTAAAAAATACTATCTGAAAATAGTTTTCTGCTGATACTTCAAAATGGGGTCTTATCAGATGGGAGAACTCTTCTAAATGAAATTGGGAGAGAAATGTCATCTTAGGCAGACATTCCATCTCTTAAAATAGTTTTGTGAATTAATTGCCATAATCCACATTTATATTGAACATTGACAAGATAGTCTATCAAATTCTCTAATCTCAATATGTTATCAAATGAATATAGCAATCACATTATATTTAAGCATTTTCTTAATTTGCAGCACATTCATATATATTGTGCATCCCCACATGAAGATTCAGTCACCAAATTTCAAATCCCAAAATTCTTCACATTTAAGCAACTTTGCATCATTTAAATGGGCATTGTCTCATTACCTATGGCTTTTACACTGGACTAATTATCCTGAAAATAAAGTTCTGTGCATGCATTATAACAAGAGATAACTTACTACAGGTTCTTACAAAAAGCAGGCTGGCATTTTATTAAGTTAAATTGAGCCAAAAATGACTGTAAAATTAATCAGATCTTAATTATATAAGTTTTCTTTAGGTATCTTCTGAGAAGCTTGCTTTGCTGAAGATTTTCAACCTTT